GCCTGAGGTAGTACTACAATTGGTACTAGGTTTTGGGTCACAGGCTCCAACGGCCTAGAAGCTATTGACAGAAAAGGCCTAATTTTTGAGAAAAAAAATTATGTCAAGTACACAAATGGTTAAACTTGAATGAGAGTTGCTGTGTCCTATAGGCCTGAGGTAGTACTACAATTGGTACTAGGTTTTGGGTCACAGGCTCCAACGGCCTAGAAACTATTGACAGAAAAGGCCTAATTTTTGAGAAAAAAAATCATATCAAGTACACAAAGGGTTAAACTTGAATGAGAGTTGCTGTGTCCTATAGGCCTNAGGTAGTACTACAATTGGTACTAGGTTTTGGGTCACAGGCTCCAACGGCCTAGAAGCTATTGACAGAAAAGGCCTAATTTTAGAGAAAAAAAATCATATCAAGTACACAAAGGGTTAAACTTGAATGAGAGTTGCTGTGCCCTATAGGCCTTAGGTAGTACTACAATTGGTACTAGGTTTTGGGTCACAGGCTCCAACAGCCTAGAAGCTATTGACAGAAAAGGCCTAATTTTTGAGAATAAAAAATCATATCAAGTACACAAAGGGTTAAAATTGAATTAAAGTTGCTGTGTCCCATAGGCCTAAGGTAGTACTACAATTGGAACTAGGTTTTGGGTCGCAGGCTCCTACGGCCTAGAAGCTATTGAAATAAATCTATTTACCCACTTTTCCCTTTTAGAATGATACTTTAAAATGCAATAAAGTGTTAAAAACAGTAAAGTTCACTGTGTCCTGTGCATGTCAGGTATTTGCAGAATATGCGCTCATTTTGGAGTTACTGGGTCCCATTGCATTGAAGTTATTGCAAGCAATCAGTATTTTATTATTCTGACAGTAATTTGTTGACGGTCCCTAAGTCAGCGGTGCGCGAGCGCCTCCGAGGCTGTGGAATTGATCTGGCTGTCTTTCGACCGCTTTATGCCGGCTAGCGTGAGTGATGCCCCACCGCTAAGTCTGGAGAGTGTGGATCTGAATATCCGTCGAATATCCAACCTAAAACTGATTTCACCTCGGTCCCGGACACATAGGGAAACCGAATTGCCCGGAACACCTGTGCAAAGCTGTGTGTCGACTCCGTATCCAAAAACCTTTAAATTGATTTAAATTATGTTAGACAGACTTTTGTGGATTGTTTAAGAATAAGAACAGTGTGACATTTGTTAGTTCAGCAAAAACACCAAAAGCGTTGTCCACGCCGCTTAATTTAATTTGCGTTACTCAACATCGCACATCCTGCGATGTGACTATTGCACGTGCGTACATCGCGATGACGAAGCTGAAACGATATATCGTGCAGCCCTATGTTAGGCTTTAAAAGTGATAGCTGATAGCTTAAAATAGTGATAGTTTAAAGCAGAAAATCCCATTGTGAAACGTATTTATTACTCTGTTCATGGTTGCCGAAAATTAAACAAAAGTGCCACGTGTACCAAATAGCATTTCGCATTTCACAAGTGCAAGATAGATAAGCAAGTTATTTTAGCCATCGGAACGCTGCAGCCTCCCTTCTTCTTATCTTTTCTTAATTCTCTGTGGATTATTACCAGAGTTGGGCAATTCAGGTCCAGAGAAATTAAATAAAATTAACTTGACCTTCAAAGGCGGGCGGGAGGTGCTGTTGGGGGGGTGGGGTGCTCCCCTAATGTAATGGTAAGGGAAACACTGGAGTGCCTGCCCATCCCCCAAGGCCGTTGAACCTGTTCTGTGTGCGGTGAGTCGCTCGTCATGTCAGAGCTAATTGCCGAATACCTTAATCAAACTCAGAATACAAAAGGCTTTACTGTCATTTTCTGACTGCGCTGGAGAGCCTCCTTGCCACACAGCAATGGCAGCAAATGCTTTCTTTGCCACCACGTATCTGGTGCTATCACAGCAGAATCATGAGTGACACCCCCATGTCCTCGACAGGGCTATTGTGGGCATGACCATGTACAACCAGGCAACGCAGGAGATCGCCAAGCCCTCAGAGTTGCTGAGCAGTGTGCGCGCCTACATGTCCGTTCTGCAGGCCATTGAGAACCACGTGCAGATCGACATCACACGAGTCTTTAACAACGTTCTGCTGCAGCAGACACAGCACCTGGACAGCCATGGCGAGCCCACCATCACCAGCCTCTACACTAACTGGTAGGTGGCAAGCATGAAGGTGCCCCCTTGAGGTCGAGTCTGCTCCTCCAGCATCTCACGCACTATTTACAGATTTCTTTTAAAATGTGGAGTCATATCTGCTGTGGCTCAAGTGAAGGACATCTTCTTAAGGTGCAACAGTTCCTCCTAGACAACAACTGGACATCTTCTGACATAGCTCAGTTTCAGGACTCCCTGAACTGGACTTGCTTCCCCGGCAGGTATCTGGAGACCTTGCTGCGGCAGGTGAGCAACGGTCACATTGCTTACTTCCCAGCCATGAAGGCCTTTGTGAACTTGCCTACAGAGAATGAGCTGTCCTTCACTGCCGAGGAGTATTCTGACATATCCGGTAATGCTACCGCCTGGGCTTTGGTCACTGAAGGTCAGCCAGGCCGGCACATGACCTTCTCCCCTGGCTGTCTGCCTGCAGAGATGAGGTCCTTGTCGGAGTTGTTGGGGCCGTATGGCATGAAGTTCCTCAGCGAGAGCCTCATGTGGCACATCTCCTCGCAGGTGGCCGAGCTCAAGGTGGGCCTGCCCATCGCCCACCTCTGTCTCACTCCTTGTGTTCCTGCATCTGACCTTCATCACCAGCTCTGTGTCTGTCCTTTACAGAAATTGGTGGTGGAGAACATGGACATTCTGACCCAAATGAGGACCAGCTTCGACAAGCCCGACCAGATGGTGGCGCTCTTTAAGAAGCTGTCATGTAAGTCTTCCCTGGGGGGGGGGTCTTCCCTAGTGGGGGTTATCCTACGCCAGGGGCTCTATCCCCCTTAAACATTAGTGGCTCTGCTCTCCTGCCGTAGCCGTGGACAGCGTGCTGAAGAGGATGACCATCATCGGTGTCATCCTATCCTTCCGCTCACTGGCCCAGGAAGCGCTGAGAGATGTGAGTCTGCCACCTGCTGATGGGGTCTAGTCAATATGTTTACTCTGAGGTCACTCTTACATGGAACTTCTCCGTAGGTGCTGTCTCACCATATCCCCTTCCTTGTGAGCTCTGTGGAGGACTTCAAAGACCACATCCCCAGGGAAACTGACTTGAAGGTACGTACCCGACGGGGATTGACTGTGGGGATGACACCTCCCACCTATGACCAGGTGATAATTTGCTTCCCCATGCCACAGGTGGCCATGAATGTCTATGAACTATCTTCTGCTGCTGGTCTGCCCTGTGAGATTGACCCTGCCCTGGTGGTGGCTCTATCCTCTCAAAAATCAGGTGCGGCAAATACATTAGTGGGCTGCATCCCATAAGGGTGATGATGGGAGACACGCTTATGCAGAATCTGGTCAGCTGAAGTGGACTGAGCTCTCAGCCATAAGGCAGGGCAGTGACAGCTGCATGCATCCCACTCTTGTCTGACAGACAACATCAGTCCAGAAGAAGAGTACAAGATTGCCTGTTTGCTCATGGTGTTTGTGGCTGTCTCCCTGCCCACCCTGGCGAGTAATGTCATGTCTCAGTACAGTCCAGCTATTGAAGGTGAGCCAAGCAGCCCTTGTTCCTGCATGTAGATGGAAGTCTGCCTAATGGTAGGCTGAGCTGCTGTTGTTTCCAGGTCACTGCAACAACATCCACTGCCTGGCCAAAGCGGTGAACCAAATCGCAGCTGCACTATTCACTATTCACAAGGGCAGCATTGAGGATCGTCTCAAGGAATTCCTAGCTGTGAGTGCACCCTACCCTGGGCTAGGTCCATGTCCCTTTTTCCTTCCACTTTTTCTGGCTTTCTCACTGCATGATTAACATCCTTAATGTTAATCCTTTAAAATTCATCCTTAACATTCCCTCCTGATGGGAAGCTGTGGTTAGAGGCAGGATGGCAGATGAAGGTGTAGATTAACGCTTCAATCCTGACTCCCTCAGCTGGCGTCTTCCAGCTTGCTGAAGATTGGCCAGGAGAGCGACAAGGTGGCCACACGCAACCGGGAGTCGGTGTACTTGCTGCTGGACATGGTGAGGCATGCCCTGCAGGCCTTCTGTGCCTCATGCTGTCACACTCACAAATCTGGTTTTAACAGTGGTTCTTTCCCAACTTCTCACCAGATCGTTCAGGAATCGCCATTCCTCACCATGGACCTACTGGAGTCCTGCTTCCCCTACGTGTTGCTGAGAAACGCCTACCATGCTGTGTACAAGCAGAGTGTGGCATCTTCAGCGTGAGACGGCACTGCGGCAAGCACAGGCCCCTGGAGGATCCAGGCTAAAACCCACAGCGGGCGAGCATACTCTCTTCCACTCTGGCCATGTGCTCTGTGCATACTTTGTGCATGGGAAGGGGCATTGTTGCCACCTCCCTGGATTTCATTTTATGTATGTGTGGGTGCGTGTGTGGTTTGCGTGAACCTGCTTTTTCATGTGATCTTAATTACCAGCCCACCTCTGCTCATGTGGGGCTCTGTAGAGCAGGTGGTGAATATAATTGACCTACTTATTAACCATTTAACCACTTTTTACCTGGTAAATTCATGAAGATTACTGTACCTTCATAACAATGATAAATGTATCTAAAGACAAATACAGCAGCTTGTCTGAATCTAAGGGGTGGAGCTTGTCTCTGTGGGGAGGGCAGTGGAGCATCACATTACATGGATGTGGTCTGGGCACAGAGCCAAGTGGGATCTTAATGCTGCAGCTTAAACCAGCCCTGGTATTATGCTGCTCTCACTGACAGGTAGTGCCTGGGAAATACCTAAATGTGTACAACCAACCCCCTCCCCCCAATTCTGAAGAGGTATGTCCTAGATCGCTCACAGTTCATCTGACCCCTCCTAACTGGAAGAACCAGCTGATTAAAGCTTATAACAAGTTTGAGAATTACTGAAGATGGGCCTGCTGAAGATGCTCTCAGCCTCAAGCCGAAGGGGAGAAATGCAAATAAAACACCAAGCAACAATCAACTGAAAAAAATCCATTTATTAAATTACAGGGGGGGCTTTAACAAATGAAACCAATATCACTGGGTTTTCTTTCATACAATACACAAAGGACACTTCACAAGCCATCTAGGTGTGCAGAGCAGGTAGCAGTGCCTTGTCCCGACCAGCATGGTTTGGAGTGTCACCCCCATGGCTGGAGAGCATGGGTGACACAGAAGCAGCATGAGGGAACACCCCTCCCCCCCAAAAAAAAAAATAATAGTACTAACATCAGATCAGGTAAAGCACAAGGCTGCCAGTCTCTCGGCTCAGACACATATAGGCAGGTCCATCAGGACATCACGTCAGGGGTAAGCAGACAGGACTGAGGCACTGACCAAGGGGCTCTGCCATCAGTGCTGCCATAGTACAGACACATTAAGCTAATGTTGCCCTCATCTGCCTCTGTGCTGCTTGTGTGTCCAGCATCTGAACTGCATTTCCCGTGGTCAGTGAATATGCCCCCCAGGGCAGCAGGTCAAACTACAGCTCATCCTGTGGGTGGGGGCACAGCATGTGATCCTGGGCATTGACATGTTTCTACACATGCATGATGGCACCCCCCTGCTGTGACTCACCTTGAGTTTGGTCCTGCCCTGTAATTGTGGAGAGAGGGCCTGCAACCTCTGGCTCAGGATGGCAGCAATGGTGCTGGCGTCCCTGCTGTTGATGTGCTCTCCACCCTGGTCACGCTGGACCCCGGACACCCAAAGATCAGAGTGCCCATCACATGCACCAATAAACTTACCACTGCCCTGAGAAGAGTGCCCCCGGCAGCCCTCACCTTGGTAGTATCCAGGTAGGGATAGAAGCGCACAGTGGGGTAAGCCCTGATGCCTGCAGCCTGGCATGTCTGCTCATATGCTTGGCAGTCCAGTTTGCCTGCGCGTACGGTGCCCTTCACCAACTGGGGGGGGGGGGGGGGATAAAGCCAGCAAACAGCCAATCAACTCATCAGTGCAGGAGTCATAAATCAGGGGGTAGTGAATGGTTCTGTGGACCTGTGATCGGAAGGTTCAAGCATGGCCTCTTCAGAATAGTCATTTCTGTGGGTTCTTGAGCAAAGCCCTTAACCCCATGGACCATCCCCGTTTTGGCCGGGAAACTACCGTATTTTACCCCTCTTTCCCGCCATCCTCCCGTATTAGTATTTTCCCGTAAATCTCCCGTATAATAATATAATTAAAAAAAAAATTCCTCTGCCTCTCCAAACTGAACTGTGAGTAGCCTCGTGAGAACTGCCACCTGCAGTAGTCTGCAGGTCATTTACAACATTAACCAGGTCATAAATGCGGAGGTTAAAATGGCAATGCTGTGTGCCAAAAACAACGTTACTTTCACCTTCTGTGACGACATCAACAAGGATACAAAGTCTGCAACAAATCTGTATAATAAGTCATTAGTGAATGCCAGAGAGCCACATGAGTGAACATGAGAAATTAAAAGAAAATTTGTAATGAAAATAAAATGTAAATGACAAGTGGTTATTTTAGATTTCTTGTACACCTGTCTTAAAATGTAAGGTATACTGGAGCTTGGTTGGGGTGGTGGGATGGCTTGAGGTGGGTGCCAGAAAATTTCTCTTATTTTCAAATCCAAAACTTCACAGGTATGCCAAGGACGCTGCTATGGGTGGCTGCCCTTCACTGCCAAGCTTGCTCTCACCTACATGTGTTTGTGTGTCATGGAGAGCAAGATGGGGTAGGCGAAAAGAGAATTTCCCCTTGGAAATCAATAACATGTAATTTCATTTAATTTCATGTGAAGGTGAACATGGAAGGACAGGCTCTCACCTGGGCGAGAAACTCAAACTCAGGGGCAAAGTGCTGGCAGGGTCCACACCAGGGGGCGTAGAAGTCTAGCACCCAATGCTCCTGACCCTGCAGCACCTGGGTCCTAAAGTCCTCAGGGCTAAGGTCCACAGACACTCTGGGTAGAAACCTGGGGTTGAAACAGAAGCTGAAGATTAAGGGGTTTCAGTGAGAAACAGCATACAACTGCAAAGTATACGCTGATATATTGGCTGCTGAATGGAACTTACCCCAGTGCCCATGCCCGCAGTGAGTGGGCATCCCGATGCCATCCATTATAGCTCCTGCACCAAACAGAAGCAGAAGACAGTCAGTCAGCACACAGACACACAGAGACTGCCAGTTGAGTAAGACCAGACTTACTGGTAGAATTCTGGCCGCAGCGCCTCCTGGGGGAAGATACGGAGCTCGGGGTAAACCCGCACATTCTGGCCCTGGCAAAAAGAATGGTACCTCTGGCAGTCCACTGTGCCCACCCTGACCAAGCCAAGCACCAGCTGGGGACACATGGAAAGGTTCTGTCACCAGGGCAGATGTCCTCCCGGTCACCCTGATTAGGCTAAGCACCAACCGGTGGACATGGGGGGGGTTTGTCACCAGGGCTATCGCCCACCCCTAACCACAGGTCATACCCGGGCCAGCCGCCTCCACTCAGGCAGCAGTGCCTGGCAGGGCCCACACCACGGCGCAAAGAAGTCCAGCGCCCAGGTCTCATTGGGTTGGCGCTGCAGCACCAGCTGCTGGAAGCTGTCTGGGGTCAGATCCTCCACCACTGGGTTCACCATATCCTGGGGGGGCAGGGGACAGATAGTCAACGCCAATAGGGGCAAGGGGGTCACATGGGGAAGGTGAGAAGGGCCATCTCCTCACCTCTATGAACTCCAAAATGCTACTGGCTGAGTGATGACCCTCATAGTGGTGTGTCTTGGACTGGTTGAATATGACAGTGGTTGGGTACGCCTGGATGTTGTACTGAAAGAGGAAAGCACCCATTTAGCACAGCCACACCCTGCACCTGCACAAACACTAATCTTAACCCCACAACACCACCCCCCAGCCACTCCCTACCCAGGGACTCACCATGGTGCAGACAGTGTCATGCATGGTACAATCCAGGGTGCCAAACTTCAGCTGGCCAAACAGCCATATGGAGGCCTTCCTCAGCTCCGGGAGCAGCGCTCGGCATGGGGGGCACCACTGTAGGGGCAGGGCTGACCAATGAGAGGCCTGGATGGCACCCCGACATATCTCAGCTCTTGGAGCAGTGCCTGACACGGCAGACTCCTACTACAGGAGCAGGCAGCCAATTCTCACCAATGAAGCTGGGATCACACCCGCACTGCAACATCAGGTGTTTGCCACAAACACTGCTCTTTATCTGCTCATGCAGCTGCTCACTCCGCTGATACCTCACAGAGGGCGGTGGAGTCAAGGCTAAACCCCACCAACACCCACCCCCCCCTGGGGAAACACTCACAGGGACAAAGAAGTCAACCAGCCAGGGCTCCTTGTCGTTGTGAGGGAAGTTCTCAGGCCTCAGTGTGGTGATGTGAGAGCGGACGCTCTCCTTGGCAAAGGCTACTATGTTGTACAGCAAATACTTCCCTGGAGACCAAGAATCCAGCACAGCACATCGGGATTAAATATGGCATCTACGTACCCCTCTTGAGGCCCCAGCCCATGCAGCGACCGACTCCTCACCATGGTAGACCTCAAAGTCATCAATGCCCCGGAAGACAGCAATGCTGGGCTTATGGATGTACAGTGACTTGCAGAGCTGCGCCTCAGCCAGGCAGTCCACCCTGCCCACCTACAAGATGGCAACAGCAGCTCTCAGCTACGCAATCCGCAGCCCGCACTCATGGTTTCACCCACCAGGGGGCAGCACTCACCCTGACATGCACTTCCCTCAGCAGCGGCTTTAGCTTCTTGTACTCGCCAGACGCCTGGTCTTTGTGTGCGAAAGTGAAACTGAGCAACCAGCGATGGTAAGCAAGCTTCTCCTGGGAGAAGAGCGAGCAAGAGCAGTGTGAACCGCACCCTCACAGAACCAAAACCGGGACCAGGCCAGGTTACACGGAACCGGCTACACCCGGTACCCTTACGCTGAAGGTGTCCCAGGTGAGGGCCTCCAGGTCTGGCAAGTGCTGCATCACCTCCCTGTAGATCTCCCTGGCATCCAGACTCATGATGGCCTATGAAAACACAGCGTGCACCAGATAGCTGCTCAGAATGGGAAGAGAAAACCAGTGACCCCAGCATAAGGGGACCACCAGCGGGCAGGGAGCCTTACCAGAGTACCATCCCTCTGCCTGAGGCTGACCCCAGGGGGGAAGTAGGCTGTGAAACTGGTCTCCACATTAAGACTGGTGCAGAGCTCCGCCTGTGTAGAGCAGTCCACCCAGCCAACATGGACCAGGTCTTCCTGAGATCACGGGGGGGCAAGAGTCGATATATATTTAAGAAAAGAATCCAGGAGGAAGTGCCAGAGGTGGTTTGTTTGGGAGGGGCTCAGGGTCCTCACCAGCATGCCAGCCAGCTTCTGCCTCGTCTGAGATCCCAGACAGTCTCAAAGAAAGCAACAGAGAGCAGCAACAATTTTAAACACCTGGAGCCAGTTGAACAAAACACCTTAAGATTTTCCTTGAAGTTTGAGTTTTGGTTTCCTTATAATAATAATAAAAAAACGATGTAACGTTATACCTCTAATAAGTACAGGCAAGTTTCACCCCGGGCACTTGCAATATTAGACAGGTATACATCAGTTATGGAACAAATTTTTCCCGATGCAGAACCATGGAGACATGCAAAATGCATTTAAATTAACTGAGATACAACAATAATTTCCGAGTACTTCTGTGTATCTCAAAGTGTGTTTGTCGTCAACCACTCAGCAAAGTTTATCGCTATATGCTCCACTCAGTTGTTCGTCAAGCAAAAAGTATGTATTTGTAGTGAACACAATACAGCAGGGGGAACAGTCCATATATTCATTAGATAAGGATGCAGTGGGGACAAAATCCGGCTTTTTAACTTTCTTTATATTCATCAGATGAATAATATGTTACATTTTGTCAGTCATTAAGCAAATATTTCAATTATGTTTTCTTTTAACTATCGCCACTCAAAAAGACGTTTGTCAGGCTATATTCTCTTCAACATTTCCATCAACAAAATTAATACTGGAGGCGATAACAGGTATCACGAGCAGGCATGAGGGCAAAAGGTCTCCATGGAAACTGTACAATTTTACTGCTGTAAAATATCTTTCATTGCTGTAAATCCTTTAAGAAACCTTTTAAGGGATTCTATGCAACACCCTTAAATAAATCTCTCAGCTAAGGATAAATCAAACCTTGTGTCATACTTAATGGGAAAAATTAAGGTGTTCTGTGCAACCAGCACCTGTCCTTCTAGGATAAGGCTTCAGTCGCTCTTCAATGATTCTGTCTGACTCACCTCCAGAGTCCGTGCAGAAGGTGAGCACCCAGCCGACCCCTGACACCTGTGACTTCTCCATCTCTGTGCGGATGTTACCTGCAGGAGGACCATTGCATCTCAGCACAGACAAACATAGTCAGGCCCATTCCGTACTGGCTGTGCACTTCTACACAAACTGGGCAGAAGTGACATACGTGGAAATCCCCCCACCAAAAGCATTTTATCAGCCCCTCAGCCAGCTCTGCTTCCTGTGCGACTTGGCAACTTTACCATGCCACAGTTCCATCACTTTGCCGTGCACAAACTGTATGGCGAACTTCATGAGGCTCTCCTTGGACCGGTCACCAAAGTACTTCTGTGCATTCTGTCAGGAAGGGGGGGGGGGGGGATTGGGGGCAGAGCCTGTTAGCCAGCAATAGTGACCAATGGGGGCAGAGGCACTCACCATGCCAGCCTTGAACATGTAGAGGCTCGGGTAGCTGCTCACACCTTTACTGTGACACAATCTGTTGTTATCACCACAGTTCACAGCTCCTATCTTCAGAACCCCATCCATCTCCTTGGCAAACTCCCTCCACTGGGGGGCACCGCATTTCAGGGAAAGAAACATAGTGATCATGAGCAGTCAGCGTGTGAACAGACACAACTGGATGGATTGATGGATGAATTAAAGAAGGAGAGGGCAGTGCTCACCATGGGTGCTAGGTCATGACAGTGTGAACAGCGTGGAAAGTAAAAGTTGACAAACCAGAGCTCTCCAGAATCCACTGCAGCATCTGAGAACAGGTGAGACACGGGTGAACGCTACAGTGCCCCGTCATGCGAAACTGCATGCATGCTTCTGTCGGGGGGGGGGGGGGGGTGCCCTTAGCACTTACCAAAATCTCCTCTATCCAAAGTGATAATCTCAAGGTCATCATCATAAATTCCTTAGAAAAGAAAAGACGACAAGCCTGTCATGGTAGGCAAAGAAATCCCAGCCGGTAAGCAGGCAAGAACAGGCTGCCTTGGCGCCATTGGTCACATTTGAGGAATCTGCCACTGCAGGCAGGCAAGACTCCCCATGTGTCTCCCCATACCGAAGTCATAGCGGTAGAAGCTCCAGCTCTCATATCGGCCTCCCTGAAAGCTGTCTTGTAGGCCCTTCTCCCCATACTTGTCATATTTCTTCCTGAGGTCCTCATCCTTCAGCACCTCGTACGCCCGGTTAATCTTCAGGAACTTCTCGTGGGAACTTTGATCGTTCTGTGAGAAGACAGCAAAAGATGTCAGGGGGCTGGAAGTAGGCCTGGGCGATATGACGATATGAGATTGTGAAGACGATCTATGTGTTGACGATCTGCCCAAGCAGAGAGATTGTAGAATCATCTATTCTATCTGTATATTGCGGCTCTATGCTCTTCCTAATTTTTTTCCTCAGCCAAAGCGCACTATTTGCTAGTCCGCTTAATGCCCGCCTTATAGAAACAGCGCTTAACCAACCAAAGTCAATGACGTACAGTTCTCACTACGCCACTCTCTTTGATTCTGAGTGTAGCGGGAAGCAATGGCTGAAAATGAGAATGCAATGGTTGAGTTTGTCCCTAAAAAAAAACTCTACATCGGTGATATGGAAGTGGTTTGGCATTTACCCAAACGATAAGGAACAAACAGTCGTTATTTGCAAAGTCTGCAGAGAAAAGGTTCGCAAGTCGGATGGCAACACAACGAACCTTTTCAAGCACTTAAAGAGACAACATCCGAAACAGTATGCCGAGAATATAGAGGCTAGGAGAGCAGTCACAGCACAGGCAGCAGAGGCAAGAGTTACCAAACCAAAACAACTACTCTTGAGAAAGGCGCTCCATATGACAGGACAAGCAAGCAATGGAAATAGATAACAGAAGCAGTTACCTTTTACCTCGGAAAAGATATGGTTCCCGCCAAAACTGTAGAAAACAAGAGGTTTAAAAGTCTGCTGAAAGTAATTGATCCGCAATACGAGCTGCCCAGCCGAAAATATTTCTCTAGCACTGCCAATTCCACGTATGTACTCCGAACGAACGTCCGTTTTTTCGTAACAACCAGTGATCTGTGGTCCAGCCGCACTTCAGAGCCTTATTTGAGTCTGACAATGCATTATATTACCTTCAGCATTGGTGGCAATATCATAACATAACAAAGGGCTACTCTAAAGCCAGATAAAGCAGTCAAACTGGTTTTCCTGGCTAAAAACCTGTCTCCTTTTAGAAGGGGATAAATACTTAAAAACAGTGCTTAAGTTGGAGTGACTCTGACTCTCCCTGCCGGCCCCTGGAGGATGGGCTCCCCCTTTGAGTCTGGTCCCTCCGAAGGGTTCTTCCTTCTAGGGAGTTTTTCCTTGCCACTGTCGCTTATGCCTTACTCACTGGGGGGCTATAGGTGGGGATGCTGTAAAGTGCTTTGAGACAATTTAATGTTGTGATAACGCGCTATACAAAAATAAATTTGGTTGTTTGTTGTTGTTGAGCTTTTATAAGCACATTTTAGACACAGTATTGCACTTTATTTTTGTTCAGAGAGAACCACAATTTAAGTCTAATTTTACATTTATACCCTTTATTGACCCTTTTAAGAAGCTATTTAGTGTTTTACCTAAGGAGGTGTTGTCATGTTATGTTAAAATGACAATGTTGAGTAATTCAGTAATAATTTAAGAATTGCATTAGCCCATAATAAGAGTTGCCATTTTTACTGTTTACCATTTGTAAGTTTTTGTTCTTGTTGATATTTTGTTCAGTAGTAACTTTAACTATTTATTTAGCTTTAAATAAACTTGTTGGCAAAATTGCACAAACTGATTAAAATCTGTTCAGAAATATTCTTTGGTCAAAATCCTGTTTTGTTCTTTAGGACTATATTTTTACAAAGGAAAATAGTTTGGTTGTACTGTTCAGTAACTTGCAAAATAGTAAAAAGCAGTATAAATACTGTGATAAAATCGAATTCGTGATTTAACTGTTAAAAAATAGTGATATGATATTTTTGCCATATCACCCACCCCTAGCTGGAAGGACTGAGGCGGTCACAAAGGTGACGCACTTACTGGGTTTTTATCAGGGTGCATGGTCAGAGCCAGCTTCTTGAAGGCCTGTCGGATATCCCTGTTGGACGCATCTTTGGACAGCCCCAGGAGTTTATAATAGTCTTTATCAGCTGAAATGACACACAGCAGAAAGGGTGCTACAAAGATGTACAGCAATGTCCTGCAGAGCTTTGATGAGACACACTCCATGTTACTCTGGATCCTCAGTCTTGATCTTGAGGCTTTCCTGTGCGCTATTCCTCCATAGAACCTTGAACCATGATCTTGACAGGTGCAGATCTCAGTGGTATCTGTGGAAAAGCAGGACAAGAATTTCAAGCTAAATGCAACAAGACAAAATGACTGGCCTCTACCAGCGCCACCAAAGACTTCAAAACAAACATTTAACTCTAATGCATTCAGTAGGACCGTCTGCAGCCCCTAGAGATTTTCATGGAGACACGATGTCAGAGACAAAGAAAAACGAACCTGAAAAGTTGCCGTCGGAAGGAGGCGGAAGCCAGCCTGAGGATCATACATTCTTTACCGAATTACACCAATTAGCAGCCGGTTAATCAGACCCTCCCCACCTTACACACTCGTTAAAGGTATGTAATCACACTGTGTAGTGAAACGCGGCATCACAAAACAGCAGCAGCGCCCTTCAAATGGTTTTGTACCACCAAAACCTCAAATGAGCAAACCAGAAAAAGTTGCTAGCGTCGTTTTTAAAATATAATCGCGGTGATAAAGTAAAAGAATAAGAAGCGTTTTACCAGGTAAATCAGTCCGCCATCCAGCTCTGACAGCGTGAGCGCGAGGAACCAGTGCGCGCACGTCACGCTCGCCGTGACGTAAGGGCGTACCCGACTGCTACGCTACAGTCAGGATACCAGCGGCCAATCCGAGTGCTCGCCGCCCTAAACAAGCCGACGTTTTATGTGTATGAAGACGGTAAAACAGGAGAATGGTAAAGAATAATAAAATGCCTTTTATGGAAATGTGTTTTGTTTCATATGAATCCATAAGTATTCTATATAGAAATCATAAAACCATTTATTTATGCATCTACTGCCATGTAGTACAGTAATAGTAACGTTGAATGAGTATTATGTTCTCCGTTAACCGGTAATTTTCTGGGTACATAGTTATTTTTTTTTTTATAAAAAAATAAAATAAATAAAAGGTCGCAGGGCAACGTGCACCCTGGTTTTTATACAGGTGTACATGTTTTCTGATGTTTTCGTTTATAGATTAGCCGCGGGAATATTCTGCCTTAATGTCCACCATCACCGCGGTTAAGTAGCTTCATATTCGTACGGAAGAGGATTAGGGCCACCATGAAAATATTATTTGAATTCTGACTTTAATCTCAGAATTCTGACTTTTTTCTCAGAATTCTGACTTTAATCTCAGAATTCTGACTTTAATCTCAGAATTCTGACTTTTTTCTCAGAATTCTGAATTAAATGTCAGAATTCTGACTTTAATCTCAGAATTCTGAGTTTAGAAAAAAAATTCTGTCATTAAAAACGCTCCACCTTAAGAACTTCCATTAAAAATTATTAAAGCCTGAAAACTGAATATCGAATATACGGAAGAGGATTAGGGCCACCATGAAAATATTATTTGAATTCTGACTTTAATGTCAGAATTCTGACTTTTTTCTCAGAATTCTGACTTTAATCTCAGAATTCTGACTTTTTTTTCTAAACTCAGAATTCTGTCAGTCAGAGGATTGAAAGCTTTTGGAGTGAACTGTGCAAGGAAAATGTTCAGTGAACTTCTTTCCGGCTCTGAAAAAAAGAAGGTAATTTTACTAGGGATTTCCTTGATCGATCACTTGTGCAGTTTTGTTTCACAAGACTTTTACAGGTAAGTTAAACGTATTATTGTGATATAGCCTACGGAGGACGAGGGAAGAAGCTCAGTAGCCTACAGCCTTGTTTATATTCATTTTGTAATAACCTAGACTATGAGTCTTGACAATTCTTTTTTCAAGCGAGCTGGACGATTTTGCCCAGATGTGGAATGTAAACCACATACGATCACAGTGTAATATGGCTGCACTGCATAGACGTCCAGCCATAATGTATATGGCTCCTCATCTCTACGGGTCTGCAGATCTCATCTTTCAGTGTGAACCTGCTGACATTCAGAACTGCCAAGAGGAGTGTGTAATGCTGACTTACCCATGTGACGACACAGTTTTTGAACTCTTGCCTGATAATGGATGAACATCATCTTAGTGTCCCAGAGGATGCAGAGAATGGCAGAGCCCTTTACATAAGGCTCAGAAAAGAAATACTACGTGTTGTAATTTGCAAATTGAAACTACTCCTCCTGTGAACTAAGTTTTTATTTATTTATTTGGTTTGATTATACATTGTATATAAGACAAGATGTGGAAATCACTATGAAAATGATTATTTGTCATATGTGAGAAGTTATGTAGCACTTTGGGGGGGGCCTATTTTTGTGGGCGGAGCTTAAAGCTCTCCCCCATCTATGATGTCATAAGGGGGCGTATCCTTTCATCTGATTGGTCGGGGGGGTTTGGCCAAATGGTACCATACATGCTTATGCCACGTGTTGCCGATAGGGGGACATATGGTTTGGGGGTGTTAATGGTTGCCGTTTAAACTTTAATAGAATAAAAATACATTACATGTATTTTATTAATGTGTTATTTTTAATTACGTTTTAAGGAATAATAAAGCGTATAGCCGGATGAATGTGAGCTAGCGCATACACGTCCTGCGGGGTTCCTTCCGTCCGCAGTAGACACAAGCGCCCGGCGTATTCTAAAAGAAAATGCACGTAAGCTCATTATATTTAACAGAAATGTTTAAAGAATTTAACTTTTAAACAATTTAAAGAATACTGCATATCTTAAGCACAAAACGGCACAAGCCCCAAACTTTTAAACAAGTAGACACATGCCCCAGCGAAACAAGCACAAACATTTTAGCCCCAAGTTTTTAAAAACGAGAAAAGCCGTAATCAGTTTAACAGTTTATTTCAATGTAAAATAGAAAAGCAATTTTCAACAAATGCGAAAGTGTAGCAAGGCGGCCATTATCCAAGCAGCTCGGCCATGTGCGGTCGCTCCGTTCAAAACTTGCGTGTCAAATGAACAACGGTGGGGGGAAGGGGGAGCGTGCTCATGCAGACACACGTTCAAATGGCGATCGGCGGAAATTGTTAACCTGAGGTGTGAGGGGGCACAGAATTAGTTACTAACCAAAAACTTTACTGAAAATCAAAAAATCATCAAAATACAAAAAGCATATCCAACAAAGGAAAATCCAGGGCCCAATAAAATGAGGTCAACCAAACAATGAAACCAAAATTAAAGCAAAGCATAACCCAACCTACACTGAACATAACTGACCTAACAAATAACACACTGGGGAAACATATATACTGGGTGATCAATCCAGCAACACACACAAGGGGGGAACACTACCATAACATTTATACCTACATGCCACTAACTAAATAAACCCCATAACATATTGANCCAGACAACTGTAGACATGTACAAATGTATCTGAATGCATTTTTAGGCAATGTTCTGTGTCACATATTTTTACCGATTTATGCCGTCCTACCCCGACCATTTTTGGCCAGGGACACGACGTTGCCGTCGGACCAATGTTAGCTGGGAATCTACACAAAGGTGTAGACCACAGAAGAATGCCCCCTTTTTGAGAGCACACAGGTCAATGATAAACTGGGCAAACACATCTTTGAGCAAACTACTGACGATGACAAATTGGCACTCTCTGCAGAAGATAAGTCGTTTCTGAACATTATGCGCAGGAAATTTGCTAAAGATAATGCAAATAACTGGGTTGCCCCACTGCCTTTTCGTCATCCCCGACGTCGCTTACCCAACAGCAGAGAGCAGGCTATCAACCGCCTCATGTCCCTACGAAAGACATTAAAGAGAAAGCCGGAGATGAAAGATCATTATGTGGAGTTTATGAAAAGGATCTTCGACAAAGGTCATGCAGAAAGCCCCCCCCCTCTCAAACGCCACCAAGAATGCTGGTGTCTACCACCCCCAAAAGTTAGCAAAAATCAGAATAGTCTTCGATTCGAGCGCCCAGTTCGAAGATGTGTCTCTGAATCAAGTACTGTGTAAGGGCCCAGATCTCAATAACAGCCTTGTGGGTATACTTCTCAGATTCCGAGGTGACCCAAATGCTGTGATGGCCGACGTGGAGCAGATGTTTCACAACTTCATGGTCAGAGAGGACCATCGTGATTATTTGCGGAAGAGTTTCACATGACAGTTCATGTTTTTTGGAATTGCCCATCCCCCTCAGTTGCTATCTATGGACTTAAGAAAACTGCTGTGGAGGGAGAGAAAGAATATGGCAGCGATATAAGGGAATTTATTTTAGCGTCACTTTTATGTAGATGACGGGCTAAAGTCTTTTCCCTCCGAGACACAGGCGATCGACGTCCTTCGCAGAACACAAAAAATGCTGGCTCAGTCTAACATCCGCCTTCACAAGATCTCGTCCAACAGCCCTGTAGTCGTCAGTGCCTTCCCAAGTGAAGATCTAGCCACGGGTCCGCAGGAACTCCAACATGGGCAACATGCCCCACTCATCCAACGCAGCCTAGGCCTAGGCTGGGACCTGTCCACAGACCAATTGTCATTCCAAGTTGAAATCAACGACAGGCCTTTCACCAAACGTGGTGTATTGTCAGTCATCAACAGTTTGTATGACCCACTTGGCTTCGCTGTGCCAGTCAGCATCGAAGGCTGCTCCATTTTGAGAGAGATTTCTATGGACATTGGCGAATGGGATGCACCGCTGCCAAGAGAGAAACAGGACAAGTGGCAACAATGGAAAGATTCCCTAAAGCACTTACAACAGCTCAAGATCTCCCGCATGTATACATCCATCTCACTATCTGAATCCCAGAGAAAGGAAATGCATGTTTTTTGTGATGCATCCACAAAAGCTGTTGGAGCCGTTGCTTACCTGAAACTCACAGCCGGCAATGGGCTCAGTGAAGTTGGGTTTCTTCTTGGAAAAGCCAGGCTGGCTCCAAAACCAGACATCACCATTCCAAGACTGGAACTCTGTGCTGCTGTGCTGGCTGTAGAAGTGGCGGAAATGGCCCAGCAGGAGCTTGACACTATTGTCGATGAGGTGAACTTCTACACCGATTCGAAGGTAGTCCTTGGATATATTTTCAATGAAAAGAGATGCTTTTATGTGTATGTGCATAACCGTGTGGAGCGCATCAGGTGTTCTACACAGACCCACCAATGGCATTACGTACCCACACAGCTAAACCCAGCTGACCATGCCACGCGAGCATTGCCCGCTGAGCATCTGTCTCGCTCTACATGGCTCAGCGGACCTGCCTTCCTTACGGATTCAGGTCAACGACAAATACAGAAAGAACCTTTTGACCTTGTTTGCCCTGAAAACGACACCGAGCTGCACCCAGATATTGTTTCCTGTGCCACTTTTCTGTCAAAAAAAGAGCTCGGGACCACAAGGTTTGAGAGATTCTCAAATTGGAGTCGTCTGCTGAAAACTGTCGCCGGACTGCGGCATATCGCCAAATCCTGTAAAGGTGAAACAGAGGGCGCATGTCGTGGATGACATAAGTGTATCAACTACGCTACAGAAGAACAGCTTCAGCAGGCTAAGGTCACTATCATTCGTGCAGTTCAAAAAGAGGTGTATGCGGATGAAATCA